AACTGAAATTGATTAGTCTGTTGCCTATTACGATTTAGAATTCAGATTACCAGGGTGCACCCAAAATATTCAAAACTGAGAACTAGCACTTGGCCAAGTATTTGTATTATTTTTTGTATTTTATTGTGTGTAATTTTATTTTCATAATTGTGTGTCTTGTATAACTGTTTGTTAATTTCATGGTTTATGTCACTAAAGCCAGTTTTTTTTTTATTCATTTAACTGCCTTTGTGTGTCATTTAAACACCCCACCATGCTCCGATAGTCAAACCTATTGGCCCATTCATCTAATATATAATACCCTTCTCATCTGTGTTACACTGTCACCATGTCATAGCAGTTTGTTATGAGACAGATAATCTGTGAAAACAATCAATCTCCTCCATATCCTTCCTGAACTACTATTACTGGTTAAAGTAATGCACTGTTCTGACCAAAACAACCAATCAGAACCAGTAGGACGCTCTTAGCGCTGTCAATTAGCCTCATTTCCTCACTGTTAAATGTGCTAATGGTGGAGAAACAACTTATCATTACAAGATACAATTTATCTGCCATCATTCGTAGCTATGCTAACTAAACTGAGCATTCACAGTTTGAATCTGCACAGCTCTGTGCTATGCTAGCTGCAGCATGGCACAAATCGAGGGGGAGGAAGGATGAGAAGCACAACATGAGATTGTGATTGACCGCACTAAAACTCTCCAGCCTCTGACTGGTTGTTTCTAGCACTGGGAGAAGGCAGAGGAAATAGATTTTTCACCGATTACATCTCATACCATACTGTCACAACATAATGACAGTTTTAAAAAATATGTGAAAAAAAAAATATTTATAAAGGTTACATACTGCAGCTTTAATTTTACTCAGGAGAGGATGGATCAAGATGGACGTGTTTTAGCAACACATTCTCACTCCCAACTCGTCACATATTGATGCTTGGGCAGGTACCCTCAGCGTCACATGTTGACATAGAGGGTACCCCCTTCGCGTCAATAATTGACGAAAAGGGTTCTCTCATTGAATGCTGTACCGCTCCCTAAGCGTCCGATACTGACGACCTAGGAACGATTAAGATGACGAGTCTATTCTATTTTTTTTAAAAAACCTTTATTTACAATTTATGTGCTAGTTTGAACAGGATATTAAGAATATTTACTACAAATACATGTCAGACATATCGGTCAAAGGACTTTAATTCGGTATTTAAAAATAACTCAGTAAAATATAAAACCGGAGGGTTTTTGTTGTGGTTGTTGTTAGCTTGATTTAAAAGCCTTTTTTTTAATTTACTAACTATTTTTGAGTATAATATCAATGATTTACACCAAATAAATTTAAGAAAAATTAAGATGTATTTTCTTTTGTGATTGCATGCAAACTGTTCTGTAAACGTTTTAATATTTTTGATTGAAATAATAAAAATAAGGACGGATCCCACAAAAACCCAAGAAGAAGAATAAGCTGACGTCATCCTATGCGACACTTACACTCCGGTGAGTAGAAACCTGCACCTGTCAAAATGTTTTTGTACTCTAAAACCAAAAATAACTCCAAAGTGCAACGTTATAAAGTTACTGATGGTAGTTTTAGGACTTAATGGCAGTAGGATTGTGAGGCGAATGGTTGAAGACACGTTAACGTTTTTTTTGCCGGAAAATATACAGTGGAAGCTAGCTGAATTAGCCTCTCGGAGGCTGATTGTACCTGCACATTGTACCTGTGCTTAATACGTTTAATTAGCCATGATAGAGTCACATAATAGTGTTTATAGTAATGCTTGTTGATGCCACTTTGTAAAATTGGAGGGTTGCTAAAAACATCAGTGCTCCTAGGCTGTGATGATCTTTAAATTTTGTTTATGAACTTTGTCTGAATACACTGATTGCAGCTATAGGTCATTTACTTGAATTAAAAATGAACTTGCATCAGTACAGGCACATTTCTGTCCTCCTCTCTATGTTATTTATTGCTGTTGCAAGCCAGATGAAGAGAAGTAAAGAGCTGAGAACCTGATCTTTGAACAGACAGACCATAGGTCAGGAGCAGCCTGGGATGCTTACTGAGGAGCATCCAATGATGATACCAGAGAACCAGGAAGAGACTGTGATAGTGGCTGATCTTGTTCCTGTTTCTCATCCTGTTGTCCCATCCTCTCAGTCTTTTCAGAAGAAGAAAAGATCCAGAAGCACCTCTCCAGCTGCCTCTCCTCCCACTCCATCATCTGTCTCCCCCCATAGATCAGCCACATCTGCGTTCATGTCACCTGATGACCATGCCGTCTCCTTAAGTCAGGGTGGCTGATAAGAAGAGAAAGCGCAAGTTTTGTTTTCTTTACATTCAAGCATCCAACATGTCAACCTCTTTAGCACAATTCGTACCTGTGGAGATCCCAGTTAGAATTTGTGATTGTCCATCAGAGTGTTTGAGGATCAAACCAGGACAGGCAGTCACTGTGGTCATGCTCAATGGTATGAATAACAAATTTTTGAATGACTCAAAACCAAAATATAAAAAAAAACTATGTTATCAAAATTTAAATAACTGTCCACATTGGTCGTGTGAGTACTTTGACGAACATATCCCAGAAGGGCCGTCTGACTCCATTCTTGCGTGGTTATGTTCTTCAACATTTTGGTGGAACTGGTTAAACAGCATTCAGATCATACAAAGTCCTGGTAACATCAAAATTAATTGAGTGAGATGTTTTGTGCCAGAGACACACCTTAAACTTGAAAGACACCTATTCTTGATGCCTGGTATTTGGACACCTATGTCCTATTTTATGTTTTCTTTTTTTTATCTCTCATTTTAAATCAGACGGGTACAATCTTGGCTGACAGGTTCCTGAAAAGATTTTTGAGTGGGAAGCCATAAGATATGAGTTGGATAAAATGTTAAGGAAGGATCCCTTCAAGTGTCAAGCTTGTACTCCAGTTTCAGTGGATGGAAACTGCAAGTATTACCATTTAAAGAATGCAGCAAGGTATTGTAAAATGTGTAAAATATAACAATTCTTTGTATATGTTAGTGATGTTCACTACTTTTGGACTATAACACCTCATGAAGTGTATTTTTTTGCTTGTTTTTCAGATTGGAGGAACAGGCTATATTTCAGGACCTTTTCATAGCCAAGGATGAAAACGTAGGAAAATTTATGGACTGTATACACAAATCAACCAAAAATGTAAGACTGCAGATTGTAGATGTATATCAACAGTAACCTTTTCGCCTGTAATAATAGCATACCTGACTGAACTGTATGCATTCTAGATTTTGTGGTGGGCAATGGTCTGCAGCCAGGGAGATCTCTCACAGATCCAGCAGCAAACTGGATGAGGAATCTTGGAGCTAGCGGTGTGCAGACATGGAGTGCTGCTTAGTGCTCTTAGAGATAGGGTATGAGATATTTGCATACCCCTTGTTCTTTTAACAAAGGCTGGCCAACAGACAATCCCTTTTTTTCCATGGATGTAACATGCAAGTACTGGCCATATCTTGAAAACTAACAAAAAGCTGTCCTGAGCTCCAACACCTGCTTAAAATGAAGCAATTTCTCTCATTTTTCCATGGCAAAGCCCATGAATGTAAGGTAAGGAACACTGACCAGGCATTGAATAACCTTGCTGGTACATATTGCATTAACATGCAGTATGTATGTTTATGCATACTGCATAAACATACATACTGCACAGTTGATGTTGTTTGTGCATGTTTGTGCAGACACAGATGGACACAAAGCTTGTGCCAAGGCTCATCGCAAGATCAGAAAGGAGAAAACATCTTAGCATTGGCTTTAGAAGATGTTGGTCACTTGAAGACTGATACAGACACAGAAGTTCTGTCTTTGGAAGAGATCCTGTCCGGTGACACAACATTGCCATGGCAACAATCACACAGTGGTAAGTAAACATACACTAATATGTTTTATACTGTCATCATACCTGACAGATAATGTGACTAGATACTCCAGAGGTTGACCTAAACTTACAAATTTAAACTTTTAATGAGTTGATTTGTCCTTTTCATAAATGCATTTCAGACTCTCAGTCTTCACACAAGAACAAGGGCAATCGATGACATCATGATGGTAAAGAGACTGGAAGAGGAAAAAAG